CCGCCGGGGCTGGGCCAGCAGCTGCGTCGTGGCTGTTGGTCTGCTTGGTGACAGCCGAGTGCACGATGGCAGATAAACCACCCCAGAGCGTCCTCCGCAGCCCACCTCGGCCCTCAGCCTCTTCTCGGGCGCCAGGTCGCTCCCGGCGTTCCCGTGCGTCCCGGTAAATGATTGCTGTCGGAAATGCTGATTCACGCGGCAGACACGAGAAAACTTTGTCCCCGGGCCCTGTTGCGGAGGGAGCGGGAAGGCAGAGGCCGCCGGGCCGCGCTGGCCGGCAGCCAGGGAGGAGCGTGGGCTCCTTCCCGAGCACGCGAGGCTGCGGGGCGAAGGTGCCCCCGCGGATGCGCCCACGGATGGGCGGTAAATGATTGCTGTCGGAAATGCTGATTCACGCGGCAGACACGAGAAAACTTTGTCCCCGGGCCCTGTTGCGGAGGGAGCGGGAAGGCAGAGGCCGCCGGGCCGCGCTGGCCGGCAGCCAGGGAGGAGCGTGGGCTCCTTCCCGAGCACGCGAGGCTGCGGGGCGAAGGTGCCCCCGCGGATGCGCCCACGGATGGGCCCATCCTCGGCGCCACCTCCGTGCTCCACGTGGGCTATCTCGGTGCTTTCCCGGGACAGGGCTTTGGCGGGCGGCCAGCGGAGCTGTAGGTGCAGCCCGCCGCGCTCGCCCGCTCCTGGAGCCCTGTTTTGCACCGTTTCCGTCAGGTGAGTCAGCACGGCCGGGGCAGGGCGATAGCCGTGGGAGCAGAGCCTCCCTGGAGCGCGAGCTCTGCCCTGGCCTCGTCCTGGGAGTCACGGCAAGCGACATTCGGGCTGGGAAAACGCTCGTCGTTACGGATCGGCACATCTCTGGAGCGTTCGGGCCTTCACACATCACAAGATGAGCTTCAAAATCATGAATTCAGCAAAAAACCCCACCCTTTTCCCCCTTTAAGCATAAAGACTGCATCCTGATTACTCCCCTTTAAATGCAAGCCAAAACACTCAGGAAATAACCTCACTAGCTCTTTAAAACTTAAGCAAAAATATTGTGAAACATCTGGTACGGCCTTTTGTGCTGGCAGTAGTGAAAGCAAACACTATTTGGACTTGCGGTTTTCAATATGATCACGATAAAGCGGTCGCTTGGCGTAATGTTATTAAAAGAGCGTTTTACAGCTCATTACAGGATCCCATCCAGCCAGCGCCCGGAGTGGATGGAGGAAGGTCATGGAGCGATGTCCTGCAGATAACGCCTGTCCCCAGTTGCACAACACGACCCAGCCCGCAACCTTGGAGCCCGCCCGAGCTCCCGGGTACGCGAGTGCGGAGGTTCATGTCCTGCGTGTGCTGTCGGCCTTCCAGGAACTTTTATTGCCTTCCCTTGTTTCTGAATCGCCTCCCACTTTTGCTGCGTAAGCGGCGTCAGGAGTGTGGTGAGACCTTCTCGCCGAGCGAAAGCCACATTCCTGCCCTGAAAATGGACCTTGTCCCCAGACACGTGCCTTGCAGGATGTACCATTGCTGGTTGCAGCATTCGGGACCTTTGGGTACTTATCAGTGCTGGGCCCAATGGGGGTAAATAAGGTGGCAGAGTCTTAAAATATGTGCTTGGTTTACAGTAAACACTGCAGTGTCGCTGCCAGCCGTGCCGCTGGGGATGGTGACACGGCGGATTGAGGAATATCCGGACGGTGCTGCGCCCGCAGGTCCGGAGCGCAGGGCTCAGCTTGGCCTTCCCCTCCGACCCTCCGACAGTATCAGTTTTCCAAAATAATGTTTGTTTAACTGCACCACAGTGTGCTCGTGAAACGAGCTGACCCTGAAGCAGGACACCGGGGTCCATTCCGCAGGCTGGTCCTAGAATCACTTAATTTAGTGAAGATCTGGCTATGAAACTCTTTTCCACAGCATAATATGGAGGGTGTTGTAAGCAGATACCCCGTCGCCTTGGGCAGTCGTAGGAAAGCTTCCGAAGGGGCAGGTTTCCTCGGTTCGGCTCTCCCTGCTGCTCCTGCTCTCGGCTCAGAAGCGATGAGACATGACACGACTCACCAAACCGTGTTGCATCGAGAGAGAGGGAAAAGCCTCTTGCGCAGCAGGTGGAGGGGCGGCAGATGGTGGGAGCGCAGCAAGGCAGGTGGGACCATTGTGTGACGACCCCCCGAATTAAGTGCGGGTAATTTGCTGTATCTCCATTGTCAGGCTTCCCTGCGAGATATCAGATTATGTGTCGCAGACGGGCTGGCAGTGCGAGTCCATCTGCGAGTGCTCGTAGAGCTAAATCTGTCTGGGGTTAACTGGAAAACAACTGGAGCCTGTTTTCTCTCTCGCAGATACCAGTAGCTCCCTGAAGCCAAGCTATTAATGACTTCATGCAATGCCGTAAAACTCTTCATTTTCCCAGAAGTCTCCTAGTCCAAGGGCTGTTTTTTTAGTTCTCTCTGCACAGATAAACAGCAAAGATGTCTGAGGAGCGCACGGATTCCTCCTCCTACTTTGCAGGGAGGAGAAACTTTGGTGTTGATTTCCAGAACAGATTTGGCCAAAGCAGCAGAGCAGATGCAACCCCCTGACCTGTTCCGAGCGCATCCACAGTGAGGATGGCTGCTTACCCGGTCGCTTTTCATCGCAGATCAAATATTTACCAGCATCGTGCATCTGCCCTTGGAGAACAGGGAATGTGCCTGGATGCGCTGTGTCTATTGTCTGGAAAAAGCCATCGCTGCCGTTCCGTGGGTTGAACAGACGAGCACATTTCCAGCACACAGATCGTTCCCCCGATTTGCGAGCAGAGTCACTGAAGAGGAGGATGGATGCTCCTCTGCTGCCTTTGCTGGTCCAGAAAGAAACCTTCCTGCTATGCCCACGTATAAAATAAAGCCAGGGTGTAAGTACCTTAGCGGGAAATATGCGACGTGCCTTCTGCTGCTGCATCTGCCTGAGCAGGACTGCTTGCGTTAAGCTGCTTGCTATTTGCAAACACTCAGTTGACAAACTAAAGGCACACTTTTTGTCTATATTTTGACAGCATTTTTAACATTTTGCTTCCATAGAGCTGAGCAATTCTGTTTCAGTTTCTCAGTTTTCTCTTTTGACTTTATTTTTGTTGAATTTAGGTGCAGCGCAGGCTGTTGTCGCTGCAGCCTCGGGAGCCTGCGCTGCGACACCCGGCAGCCCTTTCCGCTCCGGCCAGAGCGCCGAACGGAGCCGGAGCCGCATGGACACAAGAGCCAGGATCCAGTGCAGCAACATGGAAAAAGCTTCTGGTGCAGAGACACAATGAGAGGCTGGAGGTGCGAACTCCCGGCGCAGCGGCATCGCCAGCGGCCTTGCCCTGCTCCTGGCGGGACGTGGGCTGTGCATGGAGCTTCCCTTGGAGAAACCACCTTCCTCCCCAGTGTCCCCCCTTCTGCTCCTGCTGCCTGGCCTGGCCCTCACAAACACATTTCAGTTAAGTTGCCCAGATAGCCTGGAAGTACCCATTCTGGGAATGGGAAGGAAGGGAATTTGGGCTTAACAACCTTCCCCTTGATGTGACGCCGGGGGGCTCGCTGCGTGTGGCAGGTGTCACCTGTGCCGTGGGAGGAACCGCTGGGTCCTGCCTCTACATGGTGCCGTGGGAGGGCTGGAGAGGCACCGTGGTGCCAGGCACCATCGGGCAACGCCGCCACCATCCCGACCCACGCAGGCGTTACCCGCCTTGGGCTTCCCCCTGCGCCGTGCCCGGAGACTTGGAGCTCGCCAACGAGCATGAGATCGATACGGACTCACAGTTGTCCTTTCTTTGATTCCCATCTGGCAGCTGTCACTAAATCTCCCTTTCATCACCTGCCAGAACGTGTTAAGGGCATTTTGGTCTCACACAGACCTCTGAACTTTAATCCTTGCTTTCATAATTTGCCAGGCTGGTGCCTGCAGTTCCCTCTGCAGGGGTGTCCAAGGCAGCGCTGTCAGGAACCTGCAATTAGCCACGGAGGCAGCTGCTCAGCTCTTCCCCACCGGTGCCTGCTGTTGCCCTCCCCCTGCAATCAGGCCCCCAGACCTTGGCAGGCGGCCGTGGGCAGCGTGACGGCGGCCAGGTGAGTGCTTATTTAATTCCTATTAATTAACTGCTCGGGAAAGGTGCCAGGTGGGCAGCCCTGCAGCCTGCAGCCTCCCGCGTTGGCAGAAGCGCCCGCGCGGCAGCGGGGCGAGCGCCGCGGGGCTGCCCCGCGC